TAATATAAAAAATGTTTCGAAAAATTTATAAAAAATATTTGTGAATATTATATGGATTAAGTCTAAATTTCAAATTCTCGAAGAAGGAATCAAGAGCGTTTAATAACAAAAAGAGATATTAATAAATATATATCAAATTCAATTAACACTCAGGAGCTAAAATTTTGAGAGCTAAGTTTTTAAAACTACTCATGCGATTTTTACGAAAGTTGGCAGTTGGTTGATTTTTTAAATGGCACAAAACCTCGAGGGTTATCATGTGCCAGACAAATGGTGAGTAAAATTCAAGATGCATAAACATACAGTATCAAGTGAATTGATGAAATGAACCTGAAATGCTGATGAAGGCATGGAGAAATGACTTTAAAATGTCCAGGCAGAAATGACTGAAAAATGCTCTTAGCAACAGGTAGAGCAGGATAAAATGTAGTTCAAATCCTATGGTAAAAGGAGATGTCTTTTAAAAAACTTATGAGGTTGATGTGAGGGTTTCTTCCAACGAGATCTGTTAAGTTAACATTCGTAGAGTTAAAATAAAATTCACGTTTCTGACTAAAAGCAAGACAGCAGGTTAAAATATGATTGACTGAAACGGGAACATTGCAAGTGCCACAAATAGGCTCATTATCTTCTTTCAAGAGGTACTGATGTGTCAGTCTGCAATGACCAATCATAAGCGAGTCAGTAGTACATCCTCCTTCCGATTCCCTCTCGACTCCCAGTACTCCAAATTGGGTTTTACCTGCCTTAATTTGTTCAGAGTTTGGCATTCCCAGAACTCTTGCCACCTGAACAAGACCTTTGTTCTAATGTAATTCCGTATGTCTGTAAAAGGGATATCGATTTCTGAGGTAATATCAGCAGATTTTGCTGCAATATCGGCGAGTTCATTGCCTTTGATGGCAGCGTCTCCAGGCACCCAGCAGTACGCAATATAATAACCTGCGTTTCCCAAATGGAGGTGTGCCTTTAAAATTTCTAAGACCAAAGGGTGGCTGGTATTTGTATTTATTGATTCAAGAGCACTCATAGAGTCAGAGTAGATGATGAACTTTCTGCTATTCTGCCTAGAGATAAAGATTAAGGAATTCAAAATGGCAAAAGTTTCTACATTAAAGACAGATGCAGCCTTATAAAGTTTACTACTCTTTATTTCTTTATCACAAACAAAAGCTGCCCCGACGTGGTCATGATTCTTTGAGCCATCAGTAAAAATTGCTTTGTAGTTAGAATAACTGCTTCTATGCTCTAGGAAAATTTGTTGGTAATGGATATCATTGGTACTGCTCTTCTTTAGTTCCCAAAAATGTTAAGTAGGTGAATGTTCACTTCTTGCCAGGGAACAATACCGAAAAGGTCAAAAGCTTTTAAGATGCAGATCATTTAGGTTAAATTCTTCAATCAGTGAGTGAATGCGAAGATCAAAAGGTGGAATACATGAAGGACGGGCATGGTAAAGACGCCAGTACTGATCAGATGTCTTGAGTCGGACAAGATGTTCGGCCTGTGACATTACTTTATAATGAAGATCAATGGACAACTGCTTGCGTCTGAATTCCAAAGATGGTTCAAAACAGATGATATATAAACTTTGGATTGGAGATGTTCTGAAGGCTACACAGTAAATCCGTAGCGATTGATGGTGGACTGGATCCAATTTCAGGAGCACAGAAGGTCTTGCTGATCCATAGATAACACAGCCATAGTCAAGTTTGGAACGGATTAAAGCTCTATAAATGCGGAACATAGAACAACGTTCTGCTCCCCATGAGGTACTGGCCAGGACTTTCAGTATGTTGAGAGCTTTAGCACACTTTTTCTTTAGATTTAGGATATGCAGAAGGAAAGTGAGCTTTCTGTCAAACTCCTAAGAATTTTGCTTCTGGCTCAATGCGGATCAAAGAGCCGTCAAGATGCAGCTTTGGATCAGGATGTAGATTTCTTTTGTGACAGAAGTGCACGCAGACTGTCTTCTGGCTAGAAAATTTAAAACCATTGCTGTTGGACCACTTCATGATTCTATTTAGAGCAATTTGTAGTTGTCTTTCAATGTATCTCATATCTTGACCTTGATAATAGATCATCAGATCATCAACATATAGGAAACCATGCACTGTGGGAGGAAGTTCTCTTAAAATGGAATTAATTTTCAGGCTGAAAAGAGTGACACTGAGCACTGAACCTTGTGGTACACCTTCTTGTTGTACAAATACTTGAGAAAGCAACGACCCAATCTTCACTTGGAAAGTGCAGTCCTTCAAAAAGTTTTGAATAAAGATGGGTAGATTACCTCGCAATCCAGTGCTGTAAAGGTCACGAAGAGTTCCATGACGCCAAGTTCTATCGTACACCTTTTCCATGTCAAAGAAGATTGAAACCACATGATTTCTTTTCACAAATGCATTGCGTACTGCGGTTTCTAAAAATAGGGCATTATCAAGTGAAGATCTTCCCTTACGGAAACCACTTTAGTAAGGCGATAGGCAATGATTAGTCTCTAGATAGTAGGTGAGATGGTGATTTAACATTTTTTCCATAATCTTGCAAAGGCAGCTAGTGAGCGCGATGGGGCAATAATTTAAAGGATTTTTTGGGTCCTTGTCGGGTTTTACTATAGGGATAACAAAGGCCCTGCACCAATTTGTGTCGTAGAATCGAAATATGGTAAAAAAATAGGCATGTCATTTTAGAAAAAGTCATTTACAGGGTGATTATAATTAAAGTTTAAGTTTCAAAACGCTATAAAAAAAGAACCACTGATGAAAATGATGTGAAATTTGAAAGGAATGTTATTGAAGAAGGCGGAAAGCGTATGGCAGAAGAAAAAATTTAGTTTCAAAAGTTAGCAACAGATGGCGCTGTAAGCGGGAGAATCACGACGAGAAACGAGAAACGAGAATGATTCGTAAAACAACGGCTAAGGTGGAAGTTACACATTAAAACGCATTGACAAATTAGAATTGTTGAATAATTTTATTTGCATGACTGTACATATCACATCGAAAGGGACAAATCGGTTTCAAGAGTTTTGCGGCGACATACCGCATAAGAACCATTCATCAAAGAAGTTCGGAAACTGTCGCGAGACTGGCGCAAAACATGTTCAATATGGTGTCCACCGTTGTGTGCAACAAGTTGAAAGCGACAAACAGCATGTTCCACAACGGATCGCAGTGTCTCCGGGTGATGTTCAGAATGTGTTGCGAAATGCGTGCCTTTAATTCCGCTAAATTTGCAATTGGAGCACGGAACACAACATCCTTCAGATATCCCCACAGCCAGAAATCACACGGAGTAAGATCAGGCGATCGGGACGGCCAGGCTGTAGGGAAATGACGGCTGATAATTCGAGCATTTCCGAAATGGCGCCTCAGCAGCTGCTTCACGGGATGTGCAATGTGCGGAGGAGCGCCATCTTGCATAAAAATGATTTCATCCACACATCCACGCTGTTGCAGAGCTGGAATCACGTGGTTGCGCAAAATCGACGCATACCTCTGACCAGTGACGGTTGCGGTAACAGGACCGGAAGCACCCGTCTGCTCGAAAAAATATGGTTGTTGTAGGATGAATGATGCCGTAAAGCCACACCATACCGTGACCTTTTCAGGATGAAGTGGTACGGGGTGCGTTGTTGCCAGTGGATTTTCTGTTGCCCATATTCGACAATTCTGGGTATTCACGTATCCTGTCAGATGGAAATGGGCTTCATCTGTCCACACAATTTTCCACGGCCATTCATTATCCACTTCCATGCGAGCCAGGAATTCTAACGCAAACGTCTCCCTAGCTGTCAAGGTCAGACGGAAGCAACTCCTGCACATGGCCAATTTTGTACGGATAGCATTGCAGGATGTTTCGTACAATTTTCAGCACTGCGCTCGTAGGCCTGTCCAATGTTCAGGCAATTTCTCGTGCACTGCACGGTTGCACACCACCGGGCCGACCCCTCTTGTAATGCTGTGGCCACTTCTTCAACTACCGTCGAATGCACTCGTTTTCTCCTCTACCAGATTGCACATCAAACGAACCTGTCGTTTCGAATTTTTGCATCATTTTCTTTAGACCTACGACACTCATTGGACCAACGCCTTCTTTTATACCCTTCAGTGTCCTGAATTTTTGCAGAGCTACTCTTGCACAATCATCATTCTTGTAATACAGCTTTACCAGCAGAGCGCGGTCCTGCAGTGAAACACCCATGGCGAACGTCTGAGACGCGAAATGAGGAACAGCCTGGTACCTGGCGGCTTTATAACACTGAAATTTAACTAAAATTTTAATTTACGTCTTCTTCCGCTTGCAGTGCCATCTGTTGCTAACTTTTGAAACTAAATTTTTTCTTCTGCCATACGCTTTCTGCCTTCTTCGATAACATTCCTTTCAAATTTGACGTCATTTCCATGAGTGGTTCTTTTTTTATAGCGTTTTGAAACTTAAACTTTAATTATAATCACCCTGTATATTAGAACAATGCTATATATAAATCTAATGCATATCTTAAGTTGCACTTTCGAGAGACAAAAAATGCAAGTTGAATTTCATCAATTGGCACAGTAGAATCGGAGACATAGAATTGACCCCCCTTTTTTCGTACAGTGTACAATCTTACAATAACAAAATAATCACATATAGTGATGTTAAATTTTAAAATTCATAAGCTATACACATATTTATTAGTAAAACAGATCCTTGTAAAAAATCAGTTAACATTTTACAATTGCTCTAACAGACAATTTGTACAAATATGAATAAATTTTAAAAATAAATTTAGCAGCCTCAATAATATTTTATATCTTGAAAACTTACACACATTAAAAGTCAAAACCCCTATAATTAAAAACAACCCTAGAAGTTTTCATTAGTGTTCATCATTCCAAAATCAGTGACACATGTGCGAATACAAAATACACTTCATGTGCATTAAACATGCAGTTGAAAATCACAATATAAACTTTAGAGGAACTGGATTATTTATTAAAAAAATTTAAATTAAGTACCTTTTTGTTCTTCTGCTAATAAACCATTCTTTTTCATGTACCACACTGCTATTAGAGAAGAAGCAAAGCAAGCTCCAGCAAAAAAGCATGAAGAATATTGATTGTATTTTGCAGAGGAAGAATACCGCTTTACTGCACTTGATTGCATCCATTCTATATTAACATTAGATGTAGATGCACATAAAAGAAATCTGTAAAGAAATTTATGGATAATAGTTAAAATTCAGCAATTAAAAATACAACAGCAACTACTGGACTCAGTTGACAAACAAATTCAATCCCCACAATCGGTTAAAAAGTTTAATATGTAGCCAAATACTTATGCAGTGGCTGCTTTAACATGGAAGTATCAAAAATATAAATTAATATTGGTTTCCACAAATTAAGGGAACATATAAAATAACTGGTTTAAGCCAATAAGTATAGACTCGAATGTAGGCGATCAACAATGTGTTATATGATAGCAGCGACAGGTCTACAAAATGCGACTGACCATTATCTTGTATTTTTACGCAGGTGGTTTGCTGAAAATCTGTTGATGACAGCACAGACAATTGTAGCATTTGATTTAATACTTGACTTACTTCATCAAATGGTATTCCACAAAATTAAGATCAGAATTGCAAAGAGAATGCTCTGGCAACTTCACCTCTCACAAGAGACTGTTCGCCAATTTCAATTTGACAAGTAATCAATTGGTTTCCATAAATTAACCCTCAGCTGGAGGGGCTGGCATATGGTGCAATTTTAGAGGGGCGGCGTATGAAGTACGCCAAGTCGTTTTTCGAGCCTCTGCTTCGTGTTTGAAACTATTTAATATCTTACACGTGGCATTAATAAGGTGAGCCGTCATAGTAAAAATGATATAAGAAAAAGAATAACAGAAAAAAAAATAATTTCAAGTTATAATTCAATAAGGATATGAAATTAAGAATTTTTAATTAATTCAAAAAATGGAATGCACTGGAAATGTAATTTAAAGTTATAGAGTATTATGTATTATTTTATGTATGAAAATGATAAGATCATAAATCAAATTTACAAATTGTAAAATATTCCGCAAAGTTCGGTAAGTAATAAATTTCACAAATGAAAAAATTAAAAACCTTTTGCTACTTTAATCCTCTTCAGATTGTCCCTGTTCACTGCAGCAGGGTTTGAAAAGTTGTACTGTCTTTCCCAGATAAATTTTGCAGGTAAACTTAGAACACTCAGAACATTTTATAGTAGTGTAATTATTCTTCATTCTATCGCACTCAGCGCAGCGTCCTTTGATCTTTTTCGCAGGTGGTTCCTCGTCCCTTTCGGCCGTCTTGTCCTCTCTTGTTGTTACCAGCCTCCTAATAATAGCTTTGGAATGCAACAGGAGATATGGCATTTTCGGGCGATTCTGAAGATGTGGTTTCATCAAAGATGTAGCTAGATTTTTCGAAAAATTTCTTCTAAACTTGATGGTTGCATCAGGTTTGACAAAGTTCAAGAGCACTTGCGAATTTATGCCCGCTACGTTTAGCAGTGCAAAAAATATTGCCATTGTCCACCTCTTGGTTTTTCGGACAACAGTGAATCATGTATCATACTTGCTTCTCTTTGAGATGCTTTGGAGATCATCTGCAGTCCTATTACATTTGAGATAAATATTTGTATATTGTACATCATCAATTATATTTGTATTTATGATTTTCTGGAAATCAGAAAGCTCATCATTTATATTGTCACAAGTTTTGGCACTTGGGAATATTTTTTCTTCAAATGTTTTCGAAGCGTTCTGGCGAATTTACTCTTGAGAGAGGGGAACTTTATTCCACTTATAAGTTTCCTTTTCTTCTTTCAGAAACTTTCCTCCATTTTTCTTCTTTTTGTAAACTGTGTTTACAAAAAGCCCTCATATTTTAAATCATTCATGTCATTTTCATCATCACTAAAATCGACATTTGATGGGGAAACATCATTTGAGGAAGAAAAATGAGGATGTTTAGAAGCATTTCCCTCAATTTCTGAATCATTTTCATGATCAGAATGTTTGATGACTTCCGATTCATCGACATCAGTTGCGTTATCGAAATTGTCGGTGTCTTCAGCAACCGAAACTTCATCAACCGCTTCTAAAACGTGCAAATAATCTTCAGGAGGTACAATATTCTTTGGGTACATACTTGGAGGAGCGGCGTACTGCGTTCGCCTATGCGACATGTTCACCAATAACTGCTTTCGGAAGGAAAGCGAAAACCAGACTCACAAGAAATAGGTAGGGTAGAGGAAGGGAGGAAGCTCAGGAAGGACTTGTTTGAAAATTACAGCCCAAAAGATGGCATTGGTGTACTCTATACGCCAGCTCCTCCATTGCAGGGTTAAAAGAAGATATAAAATAATTGGTTTAAGACGAACAATTTAAACTGATGTATGGAACTTTTGTTAAATACACTATAAACATTATCACAGTGCTGCATTAGGAATTTCAAGAATATATCAGGATTAAAGTGGCCACGCTGGTCAGTCGGCAAGCTTAGAAGATATACTGCCAATTTTGTATCTACAACAGATATGATTGTCGCATTATTTTGCTTGCACTGTTGTGTGTATAATATCATCAATTCAGTACTTATTTTCCCTCAAATATCTAACATTTTAACTTATTATTAATAATTTTAAAGTAATAGCAATTTAATATTTTAACATATTAACTTATTATTAATTATAAGAAGCAGTATTTTTTTGTGATACCTACAACACATCACATTTTAGATTTTCAAGCTCATTTTTGTCTTCATGATATTAACTACTTTCCTAAACATACGGAACTTTTATTTTTCAGTCAATCTGAAGTTCAAGGTTCTTCGAGATACAGTTCACTCTTTTGTAATCTTCATTATTAATTTAATTTTTCTCTAAAATGCTTAAAATGTTAAAATATCAAAATTGCTATCAACTTAAAAAGAAGCAGTAGTTTTCTTACAAAAGCACAGAATTTTGTACACTAAACAAAAGTGTAAAAATGCCCCTTCCCCCAGTGAAATTATTTATAGAGAAGTTACAGCCAAATGGTGAAAGAAAAGAGGAATAGCTTGCCAACACTTCAATTCATATTTAAGATATTTATGTAGCAGCAGTATGTAAGGTGAAACAAAATATTGTATTCTTTTATAGGAGCAATTCCTGAATTATGACATTTACAAATGCAAATAAATGCAATTTTTCCAAAGGTAAGTAACTATTATTTTAGGTTCAACAAAAATAAATTTTATTTATTATAATTTTATATTGTGGTTCTTCCAGGTTTTAAAAGAGAAAGGCTAGTTCATAGTGTTCCCCCCCCCCCCATGAAGCAGGAAGTGAGGAGTGATGACATACTCATGTTAACACTGACTGCAAAGTAATATACGTTTTAAATTTGAAAAAAATAGCCTTAAAAATCTGTGCATGAAAAAATAGCTTTAATTTAGAAGAAAAGATGTTATTACTTAAGCATTTATTACGTTTAAAAAGTTAATAATACATATTTATTAATTAAAAAATAATAGATTAAAATATGCTGCATATCCTTAAAAGTAGGAAGTTTTTCCCCTTGTCCATTTATTATTAAATCATGAAGAAAAAACTATGGCATTCATTATCTTTTCTTCGTCTGGATACTACATGGGACAATTATATTACTCTTTTCAAAATTACTATAACTTTTTAAAAGTTAGGCCAAAAAAAAAAAATCCTTAGTTTGGAATAGTTTTGAATTTATATGTCAATTTTTTTCTTCGTTTGGATACTAAATGGGAGAATGCTATTGCTCTTTCCAAAATTACTATAATAACAGCTTCTTAAAGTTAGCCCCTCCCAAAAAAAAAATCCTTAGTTTGGCATAGTTTTGAATTTATATGTCAATTTTTTTTTTTTTTTTTCTGCTGCAACTAAAGAACAGGAACTTGTGCTTGACTGCTCTTGAAATTGATAGTTTTATTCAAAATTTAATCTAAGATTGCTTTTTTGACATAATTATAATTTTTACATTGGCATGTTTCTCTTCCAATTTGATACAACAGATATCATAAAAATAATTGTCTCACTGACATTTATACATATACATTGTACAGTCAAAAGTCTTTAATCCGGACTCGTCGGGAGTTCCGCGATTCCGGATTATAGATCATCAGTTTAAATCTGGTAAGATGGCATGCAGAAATTATAAAATTAAAAATATAAAACCGTAATTTATGAAATAAAGAACAATTATGATCTAAAGGGTATCAAAATTTACAAAAAAAAAAAAAAAAAAAAAAGCTTAACATTTATTTGTTTACTTTATTAAACATTTCCTTCAATGTGCGCACGCGTAAAGCATACATTACGCATAATCGAAATTAGAAAATTGCAACCAGAAAACTATTTGATGTGTATTCGTGATACGAGTATTTATAATGAATTTGATTTAAATCATATCAGAGTACATCGAGATGAAATACTACATTCAGTAATGAATTATAAGTCGAATAAAATAAAAACATGAAGCCCACGATGCCCCACCTCCCCCCCCCCACAGAGCAGCGTGAAATTGATAAACAGATTTTGGAATAATTGGAGAAACAAAGGATATGCCTTTATCCATTTTTTTGCTGCAATTCCGCTTTTTGTTTGATGGACATCGAAACATGCTTCTGCTTTGTAGATCCTTTGGCAGCCCCTGCATCGGAAATTCTATTTGACATAATCGAAAGTTCAAGCTTACTTTTATAAAATTGCTCTAACAGTCTGCAAAAAATAATAAGCCAGATCCAATTCAAAGATTAAGGAACAACGCAATCTGCAACATTAACTGAAATAGATAATTAGATAATTTTAGCTTAGCTTATACCATCCATTATACATTAAACGCGCATGCGTAAACGCATATGCGCATGCGTGAACGCATGAGGTCCGGATTATAGATAATTCCGGATTATGGCCGTCCGGATTAACGACTTTTGACTGTATTACATTTAAATAAATACAAGATCATTTTCTTAAGTTTGACAAAACAACTTTGCTCAACGTATCTATAGAGAATTACTTAATCTTTCAAAAAAGGGGCACAGGGGGAAGATCTTTTTTAGGTGAAATTATTTTGACGCTTCATACGATTATAAATCACCTAAAATGCTAAGCTAGACTTATTTTTTTACAAATTATCAATGCATTCTTGTTTACTTTAACAGTTATTTCATCAGCAATATTTACATCATTTGAGAGTCCTATTTTAAAATCATTTGTATTTAATTTATTATTTCTATTATCATTTTCATAATTGACCTCAAAATGAATTTTCTTCAAATTTAATTCATATAGTCCTTCAAAAGGACTTTGTGTTATTATTATTATTTTTTTTTTCCTTGGCACCGTATTGGATTTTAACAGTTTCTTTTGGGGTAATCCAAGCAAGTGATGTTTCATATGATCTTCTACCACATTTCAGCTACACCACGTCATAACGTTTCGATTTTCATGAACTTTGTAATCTTGGGAAATTACTAAAAGATATCATCACAAATTGCAGAAACTCATCGGCAGTCTGGTTCTTTTAATAAGACTTCTTAATTTTCAACTACGAAAAAAAGACTGTTCTGTAAATGTTCTCAAAAACAAAATGAGTATTCTTATTGCAAAATTTTGTAACTTAAGACTTTTTTCTTTTGACAAGTACTAATAAAAATTAATCAAATTTATATCTTACAATCTTGAACAAGATTTATAGCACAGTGTAAATTTATTAACCCTATTTCTAGATATTCTGAAGAGTTATGTTCATTTTTGTTAATGAATATAACACAAGACTATTCTCCAAACCATAAAAAAATCTTTTACTTCAGATCATTATCAAAATAATGTTAATTTATTTATGGGAAATGTATTCTCTGGCCCCTAGTTTGACTTTGACGCTACTTTGCTAGAAAACAATACAAGTGATTAAAATTAGTTTTGGAATGGCCACGTTGCTAGTTTTAAACAGGTGAAGTCAGAGCAGATGCAGCATAGTGACGTCAGACTACTTATTATTAACCCGCCTACCAGGATCGCTTTGCTGAGGAGTCGCACAAAGGAATTAGCTAGCCCTTCTATTTAACCCTCGGTTTTTCATTTTTTGAAGGTTGCCATAGTGTTTTAAAATTCTTCAAATTAATGTTAATGCTGCAAAATTTTACCGCAGCATACACTGTGCCCAATTTAACACTAAAGTGTCATTTTAAATTATATGTTATTAATGAAAAAAGACCCAAAAGGAAATGCATATTTGCTTTTGCTTTTGTAGAATGAACTCTGATAACACATTACATTGACAGCCATTCAATGGACATGAAAGTTAATACCAGGCATCATATATTATTTTGACATTTTTGAACAATTTAAAAAATTTATATTGTACGAGTTTAATGAAGTCTATTAATATTAAAATAAAAGTTTCCTTTTCTCTCCCCAATTTCATCCATACATAGTATGGTGTAAGCAGCATTTCTGACAAGACTGTATCATTAGCCGATCAGATTCAACAACAAATTACCACAATTATGCAACAACGTCAGCATTTCTAAAAGTTCTGCATTGGTAGCTAGGTCACCATCTTTAATCATCTTGTCAGTTAAATCCAATATTTGGTAAAAATTCATTATCACTCGTACTGCTTCCTAACATCTTTTACTTTTCTTCTGACTCGCTGAGGCAATTAGAGCAACATTTTAAGTCTCTAAGCAAAAGATAGCCTGCATGAAGATCTATACTTAAAATTAGTTCCATAACAGCCAGAGCCGATCCTAGCAGGTGTGCAGTGAGTGCACTGTATGCGGGCGGCCAAAACAAGGGGCGGCCGCATGTCACATATAGTTCTATCTATCAAGCATATTTTTTTTATGAATTTCTGAGAATAAAACTTATAATAAGATGAATAAATATGCTGAATTTTTAATAGTTATTGAAAAATAAAAATCTCAATTTCCCAATAGCATAGCATAGTTTAAGAAAAATAGAATGCTAGTGCACAGTGTATTGGTCCATTGCCCATTAATGTCTATGCTTTACACACATTCTTCATCTGATAATAAAATTCAGGGCAAAGCAATACCACAACAGAAAAGGTTATTTTGATTATCAGCAGCACTGGCAGCACACTGTGGATTGACGCTTAACAAAGGCATCTCAAAAATGACTTTTGCGAAAGTTGCTTTACGAAAATATCTACAGTCAAAAGTCGTTAACCCGGACTCGTTGGGACTTCGGCGATTCCGGATTATAGATCATCAGTTTAAATCTGGTAAGATGGCATGCAGAAATTATAAAATAAAAAATATGAAACCGTAATTTATGAAATAAAGAACAATTATGATCTAAAGGGTATCAAAATTTACAAAAAGAAAAAGCTTAGTATTTATTTGTGTACTTTATTAAACATTTCTTTTAATGTAAGTTGTTTAAGTTGCTTCGTTTCATGTGATAATACTTTCTCTTTAATTCTATTAAACAGACAATTTCTTGTTTAGTTACAAAGTTCCGCTGTTCAAGTCCTATAATTGCTGTTTCGAAAATACCGACTAATTTGTCAATCGAAATTTTTTCATTTTCAATAACCTCTGTCACTTTCTTCACTATCAGAAGCGAATTATAATGATGAGGAACTTGATTTAAATCATATCAAAGACGGAGTACATCGAGATGAAATACTACATTTAGTAAGGAATTATAAGCCAAATAAAATAAAAACATCTGCCCTGAAGATAAGGATAACGCTGACAGATCAACTTCCAATTCATTGCGCGCTGCGTCGTTTTCCTCTCCCCCGCAGAGCAGCGAGCAAACATATTTTGGAATGATTAGATAATCAAAGGATATGCCTTTATCCATTTTTTGCAGCAATTCCACTTTCTGTTTAATGGACTTCGAAACATACTTTCGCTTTGTAGATCCTTTACATATTAGTAAATATATATTGGAAATTCTATTTGACATAATCGAAAGTTCAAGCTTACTTTTATAAAACTGCTCTAACAGTCTGCAAAAAATAATAAGCCCGATCCAATTCGAAGATTAAGGAACAACGCAATCTGCAACATTAACTGAGTTTAATTTTAGCTTCCGTTATATATTAAATGTGCATGTGTAAACGTATAATGCGCATGCGCACATGCACATTCGCAGCCGGAAAGGTCTTACGCGCATACGTAAATGCCTATGCCCAGAAAGTTAATGCGACGCAGGCACAGAAAGTTTCTAGCTTTGAGGTGCAGATGATAGATCATTCCGGATTATGGGTGTTCGAATTAACGACTTTTGACTGTATTATGGTTAATATTACCCAAGACACAGGAGTGTTTAATTTCAATATGTATTTGGGTAAACACTAAGTTTTCAATTTAGAAAAACAAAATCGAAGAAAAAAGTGATGTTGTAGCTCTATTAAAAGATAAATTCTTGTAGTTTTATATGATACCAAGTTATTTGAGAAAAAAAAAAATCTTGGAGTTTCTTTTGGTTAAATGATTTTCATTACAAATCCTGTTTGAAAAACACTTCAGTATTCGTATAGTATTATTAAAGTTAGCAAAGTTTGCCAAAGTTCTAAATTTTACTTTATGTTGCAGGTACTTAATGGTATTTTACTACTATATTAAAAAAATTGCGGGTTTTATGCCTTTTTTTTTTAAGCCCTAAATGTAACAAGATGCTATATAATCAAGTAGACAAACCAAGAGATTCAAAACAAAGCACTAAATAAATAAAAAGAAGAGAAAAGAAACGTATATTAAAAGTTAATCATGATATAAATATATATTGAATGATTTAATAATTTAAGGCATTTTTTGCCCGCATTTAGAAATTGGCTATAGACATGTCAGAAACAAATTTGTATAGTTTTTTCTTTAAGCAATTCAATATATTTATACACTCTTTGGTGTTTAGGTTTAAAAAATTGCTTTCCAGCTTTAACAATAATTTGAAATAAAAATTAATTTTGGAACTACTCTTATATGCTCCCTCAGGTTGCCAAATTTCTCCACGCTGCCATATTACTATCTGAATTTTTTCTCTACATTTCGAACTTTAAGCCTAAAATGTCTCCAAAAACGCGGTTTTCGCATATGTTTTGCACAAAAAAACATGCAAAAACCACGTTTTGAACACACAATTTAAGCTAAAAATCCAAAACAAAAACAAAAAATTTAGATAGCAAAAACGTAAAGTTTCCAACCAAAAATATTTGACAAGAATCCATGTACATAATGATACGTTTTAAATTAAAAAAAAATCTACGAATTGCACATTTAAGGCAGCAAAGGAATCTATTAACTACGCACACCTCACTTCAATAAATTAACATAACAACAACAAATTTCGAAGAATACCATGTACACTGCATTCTGTTTTAACTTTTAAAAAAAAAAAAATCTAAAAATTGCACAATCTAGGCATTACACACAAATCAACCAAATAAACTAAATTACAAACAATTCAAAATTCAACAATAACAAAAATTCATAGTAAAAAACAATGAACATAACATTCTACAAAATAAAAACAGTAAAAATAAATGTGCACTTACCATAATACATTCCTGAATAAAATTTCGCCAGTCACACAACATCTCTGAACAAAAGTGCCACGATTTTGCCATATCAAGTCTTTCTGAGATTCAAAATTTCGAAAGTAACTATAAAAACTTCCCCCAAAGTTAACTTATGACACCAAAACCACAATCCAAATCTTAAACTCCGCTGAACCATTTGACTGCAAATCCACACAACTATCAGAAATGCCTTTCTTCGTCCGAGTTCTCATAGCAGCTCAGCATTTCACACTGCGTTTTCACACAGAAATTCCAAAAATACACTTCAATCCTCATAAACACACCCATAAACAAAAGACTCGTTAACAACTCCAACATCGTACCTTTTAATACTAAATTTACTTTCCACACAATCTAAAATACGCAACTAAAATTTTTCCATCACATCTATCACTGCAACATAGGCCATTTCAAAACACGCATGACACAAACCAACCACTCCAGGAAAAGATTTGGTACAACTCTGATATACATCTTAATTTCACCAAATGTGGCGATATGTGTTCTGTGGTGGTTTTTGGTGCGATTGCGTGTTGTATGGCAACCCTGTTGACGTTGAAAAATCTTTCACTGGAGCTTGTTGGTTCACATTAATGCTCGTTCGTTCGCGCCTGTGTCTGAGAAGATGGGAAAAGATAAAACGGTGGAAGTTGTTGAATTGAAGTTCGACAAAAGGAATTATTATTGTGGCCATTCTGTTGAGGGGCAGTGGGTGTTTGGAGGAGTGGAAAGAGGGTCTGGGAGATTATTTTAGTGGCTGTGCATGTGATTATTTGTGATTTTATTTATTTGTGAACCATAGTATGAATTCTCTGGATAGTGTGTCTGGCTGTCATATAAATATGATAGTGATTATGTGGCGGCATGTTAAAGGCGGTATGAAATTGGTATTTCTGCTGTTCGAAAAAGCATTAATTCATGGTTTATTTTATTCTTGTTCTTATTTTGTAGAATGTTATGTTCATTGTTTTTTTAAAATGAATTTCTGTCGTTTTTTTTTTTTTTTTTTTTTTTTTTTTTTTGAATTCTTTGAAATTTATTTGTTATTTTAGTTTATTTTGTTGATTAATGCATAGTGTCCAGATTGTGCAATTCGTAGATGTTTTTTAAAGTTGAATCAGAATGCTGTGTACATGCTATTCTTTGAAATGTATTGTTGTTGTGTTAATTTATTTAAGCGAGGTGTGAGTAGTTCGTAGATTCGTTCGTTGCCTAAATTGTGCAATTCGTATATTTGTTTTTAAAGTTTAAACAGGATGCTGTGTACATGGTATTCTTTGAAATTTATTGTTGTTATATTAATTTATTAAAGCGAGGTGTGCGTAGTTCGTAGATTCCTTAACTGTCTATATTTTGCAATGCGTAGATGTTTTTTTAAATCAAAACATATCGCTGTGTACATGGATTCTTGTCAAATATTTTTGGTTAGAAACTTTATGTTTTTGCTATCTAAATTTTTTGTTTTTGTTTCGGATTTTTAGCTTAAATTGTGTGTTCAAAACGTGGTTTTTGCAAGTGCGAAGACCGAGTTTTTGGAGACATTTTAGGCTTAAAGTTAGAAACATAGACAAAAAATTTAGATAGTAATATGGCAGCGTGAAGTTTCTCACCAAAATGTTTGGCGAGAAATTTGGCGACTTGAGGGCATATACCAGAGTAGTTCCAAAGATTTTTCAACGTTAAGGGGGTTGCCATACAACACATAATCACTCCAAACACCAGCGAAGAACACATAGTGCCACATTTGGTGAAATTAGGGCGCATATCAGAGTAGAGCCTTAATTTCTAATAAAAAATTATTTAAAACTACATTTATGGACTTAATATTCTTACCTTTCCTTGTATGTTAAAAATAAAGTGACATTTATCAAACTATGCAAAATCACTTAAATTAATGTAGAGGAATAAAGGAAATATTTTTGTGGATTTCAAATGGATTTTTTATTAAAGATTTTTCAATCTAAATATCACACAAACACACTCTTAATATTACAAGGTATAATCTTTCAATATTTGCCAGAAAATATAAATTCATTAACATGAGATAAAGTTTCTAGGTACTATTCCCTTTTGAGAAACGTAAAAAATTGCACGGAAAATGTATGCACAAAAGTACCAAATCTAGCAAATGCACCCATTTAACAGCGTGCCAAATCTAGCGTATGCGCTGAATTCAGATTGTGTAAGTTTATATTTCTATATTTCTTAAGACGCCATTGAAATACTAGTTTAATTTTTAAATCCTTTTAATATCCTATGGATTTAACAATTTGGGAATTGATTATGACGAAAAGTCGGCAATAGAATTTTAGGTAAAGTGCAGAAACACCCACTGTTTGACGCGTTTTTAAGAATTGCACATACTCGGCATCCATGTGCACATCAACCTATTTTCACTTTAAAAAAAAAAAAATCCCAGAATTGCACAAAAATGGCGCTGCGCACACCCTTGGCTTTATCTATGTACACATCGACCTATTTTCACTTAAAAAGTAAAAGAAAATTGACAAAAATCCAATTGTCTTTACCCTTGTAAAAAGCGGCAAACGAATAAGGGAGTGATTCTGTACTTTACCAAGAATATTTTCAAAGAAAAGGCATCATTCAATATAGAAAATTATCTTTTAACAACCAACGAGATGAAATTATGCTTTAGCGATAAGTCGGTAGCGAAATAGCGATGCAGATATCCATTCAGTTATGTTTAGCAATTTTTATATAAATTATAATAATGATCTGAAATAGTTATTTACTCTTATGCTTCCATTCAGTCATGTTTAGCATTTTTCATATAAATCATAATAATAAAAAAGTATTATATGAAATTAACCTGTCATCTAAATTAAAACATCATAGTTATTTACTATTATACTTCCTGAACAATATTTTGACTCTTAATATTTTTGTTTATATTTTTTCCTAACTGAGTAATATTGCACGAGCTTCAAGCAGATGTAATGGTTTTCTTTACTCTATAGGTTTTTTTTATTAATTATCTATTCATATTATTTTTATCTATGTTTTGTAATAGTTTATTTTTCAGAGAATGGCAATATACTATGATGTCGTTCTTTCTAGAGATTAACTTTGTTTAACTTAGTGTAACTTTTGTTTTCTTCATTTTGAGAGTATGAATAAAAGATCTATTTAATTATTGTAGAGTTCATTAAATAACTAAAGAGATATAGATAGTTATTTCCGAGTAATAAATAGTTCTTGAGGTAACAAATTTGATGAAAATTTTTGAACACTTCCTTTCTTGCCACAATTATTAGGGTTGCCGCAATTATTTTTGGCAGCATTGGCATCAACAATAGTTTGGCGATTTTTTATGGGCCTTGAAACCGAATAGTACCAGTTTCTACCACATAAGCACCTATGGTGCACTAATAAAAAAACTCACTATATACTGTATATACATGAGCTAAAATATCGAATTTTTCATTTCTAGATATCACATAATTTCTGTAAAATGAAACTCTCTGTATATAAATGTAAAATACCCTTTTTAGATAGCCCATATATTCGAGAATATGTGTACCACATTTAGTACAATTTTTAGCAAGTCAAAATTTGGCATTCAGAGGAACTAGTACGAAGTTTATCATAGAACTAATAATAATATTTTAAAGGCAGAGGAGATGTTGGCCAAATTTGATCCAGTTATTTCAGAACACCATAATAATGTCAGTAAATGCAAAGATGACAAGAAACACATTCCACACCACTTATGGCAGCATTTTCAAAATGAAATAATTAATATTTTAGCCAAATCTATTTGTAATGAGATAACACGCATGGTCAAAAGAACCAAATATTACACTCTAACTCTCGACTCAACACCAGATATCAGTCACACAGAACAAATAACATTTATAATTAGATGTGTGAACACTACTGATGGTAAAACAGGTATTCTAGAATTTTTTCCAGTAAGTAATACCACTGGAGAAGATCTGTGAAATTTTATATATAATATAATATGATAGATGCTGCTTAATGTTTGTCCATGACTGTTTTGATAACATTAACCGAATGCAGGGCCAGAACCAGACTTTTACCGCCCATGCAAACTTCTCAAATCTAAAATTCTACCGCCTGGTGCAATCGCACTGGCCCGGACCGAATGATATTTCATGATTTTTCAAAATATCAATGGAATTTAACATACCATATATTCGGGCGTATAATGCACAGTTTTAAGAAAAATATAGGAAAGAAATTTTCGGGTGTGTGTTATACGGTGGATATAAAAATGATAGCTTAAAAATAAGGAAAAAATTATATTTTTTTACATTCACTAAAAAGCTGCTTATGAAATTGGACCTTTTCATTATCGGATAACATGAAAAGTTCAGCATATTCGGCTTCCGTTATATATTCAGGCATGGCATCGAATTTTGTTTCATCTTCAACATCATTGTTATTTCTTCATCATTATTGTTATTTTTTCATCATCATTGTTATCCATAAATATATAATCATTATCCGTTCTATCTTTCACCAACACCAAACATCCTTGGTGCACCATGATTTCCATTTTTTTTTTTTTTTTCCAAAATGAATGATTTTGCATTTGAAATAAGCACTGTGTTTGTTTTTCTTCTTGGGAGCCATATTTACAGTCAAAAGTCGTTACTTCGGACACCCATAATCCAGAATGATCTATAATCCGGACCTCAAAGATACGAACTTTCTACGCATGCTTCGCATTGACGCATACGCATAGGCGTAAGACCTTTACGGCTGCGAATATGCGTGTGCGCATAATACGTTTACGCATGTGCGTTTAATGTATAACGAACGGTATAAGCTAAGCTAAAATTATCTAATTCAGTTAATGTTGCAGATTGCGTTGTTCCTTAATCTTCAAATTGGATATGGCAAATTATTTTTTGCAGACTGCTAGAGCAATTTTATAAAAGTAAGCTTGAACTTTCGATTATGTCAAATAGAATTTCCGATATATATTTACCAATATGTAAAGGATCTACAAAGCGAAAGTATGTTTCGAAGTCCATTAAACAGAAAGTGGAATTGCTGCAAAAAATGGATAAAGGCATATCCTTTGATTATCTAATCATTCCAAAATATGTTTGCTCGCTGCTCTGCGGGGGAGAGGAAAACGACGCAGTGCGCAATGAATTGGAAGTTGATCTGTCAGCGTTATCCTTATCTTCAGGGCAGATGTTTTTATTTTATTTGGCTTATAATTCCTTACTAAATGTAGTATTATCTCGATATACTCCGTCTTTGATATGATTTAAATCAAGTTTCTCGTCATTATAATTCGCTTCCAATAGTGAAGAAAGTGACACAGAGGTTATTGAAAATGAAAAAATTTTGATTGAAAAATTAGTCGGTATTTTCGAAACAGCAATTATAGGACTTAAACAGTGGAACTTTGTAACTGAAGAAGAAATTATGTCTGTTTAATAGAATTAAAGAGAAAGTATTATCGCATGAAACGAAGCAACTTAAACAACTTACATTGAAAGAAATGTTTAATAAAGTAAACAAATAAATATTAAGCTTTTTCTTTTTGTAAATTTTGACATCCTTTAGATCATATTTGTTCTTTATTTCATAAATTACGGTTTCATATTTTTAATTTTATAATTTCTGCATGCCATCTTACCAGATTTAAACTGATGATCTATAATCCAGAAAAATCGATAATGCGGAATCGCCGAAGTCCCAATGAGTCCGGATTAATGACTTTTGACTGTACTATTAAAAGGAGCACTACAGCAACTGTATTTCAATTAAAGCCAAATGCAATTTACTAAAGCCTTCGATTTTCAC